TTTTTTTTTTTGCTTTTTGTTTTTTTGTTTTTTTTTTGTTTTTTTGTTTTTTGTTTTTTGTTTTTTGTTTTTTTTTTTGTTTTTTTTTTTGTTTTTGTTTTTGTTTTTTGTTTTTTTTTTTTTTTTGTTTTTGTTTTTTTTGTGGTGAATGATAAGGGAAACTCAGGCAGCTACTAGTTTAGGGTGTGCACGTTGTAAATCCCACATTTAGCCGGCATATGACCTCAATGATAAATCAATCTAAGTTATTTATAGTTGACAAGTTCAAATAAAAAAAAAAAAAAAAAAAAGTAAATAAGCCGCTCCAGCTAAGAATCAAATTGCCTATCTAACTTGACTAGAATTGCTCAGATCTAGATGATTCCTCACCTTTTTTTTTTTTTTTTTTTTTTTTTAATTCCTTTGTTTCGAACTTTGATCTGAGTTACACCTGAAATTAAAGATATATGATTCTGATGTTGTTGAATTGAAAGTGGATAAGTTGTGAGTATAGTAGAACCTCTGGAACAGGGCAAGTACCAAATTAAATAGGTATTCTGAAAAGTGAAACGGAAAGGTTGGAGTGAAAGAGAATTAGTTGCATACAGTAGCATGCATGCAGGGCAGAAATAGCATTATCTAACATGATTGAAATCTTATTATATTTACATGAAGCGAAGCAAAGCAAAGGAAAAAGACATAAGCAAGCTAGATAGTGAAAAGACAAAGTGAAGAATCACTACATTTGTAATCCAGCAGAGTTAACAAGCTTGGTGAGTCCAAATGTGAGAGCCATAGCCATCCAGCCTCCTATGAGCACCCTGGCACAAGATTTCACCAGCCATCAAAGGCACTATGGCTCCAAATGAGAATGCAAGGGATGATGCCAAAGCTGCTTTGAATGGATTTGGCAGATTTTGTTGCACTCTTTTGTTTCTTTTCATTTGAGCCACTTCGATGTCTAGCTGAGAGTACACAGAGACGAACTCCCCAATTGCCATGCTACATAAAACCTGCAAGAAACATTGCTTTTAACAGCCCCAACGCCCATCATCAATCACGCGATAGAAACCAATCCATCGTTGGCTCCCACCACTGCGCCCTTTGCGCATAATCAACCTCTTCAGCATCCTCATCTGGGTAGGGCCGATTTTTAGATTTCTGTGACCCTGTTCGGGTAAATAAATAAGGCCCTATTAAAATTAAAATCTATAAAACTAATACCGTAATTTTATTATCTAAATATATAACAAAAAAAAAAAAAATTATTCGTGCATCGCACGCACACTGCACGGATAATTGGGCAATTATTTGCTCGAATTCAAGTAAGGATAACATAAAAAAACATAATTGATACAACCCATTTCATCAATTGCACTATATAATATTCGTTGTTATAATTTAAAGATTATAACAAATCTTTTCCGTGCAACGCACGGGTAAAAATAGACATATTATGGAATAATAATAATAGTGTGCACAAGTTTTGAACCTTAGACCTCAAAGTTAAAATACAATAAATACATGTTCCTACCATTTCTTTATAAAGCCTTTTAAGTTTAATTAAAAACTTTTAATTTTTATTTCTAAACTAACTAGGTAAAAATAAAATATTGAGCTTCTAAAATTTGGGGCCCCTTTAAAATTTGGGGCCCTGTGCAGTAGCCCAGCTTGCACAGCTCAAAATTCGGGCCTGATGAAGTGAAATGACAGGAGGATAGTAAGAAAAGCTACCAAACAAATCAACGAGAAGAAGATAGCTAGATTATTGCTTCATACTCTTCAATTCCTAAGAGATCTATATATAGCAGGGTGTAAAACCATATCAATAATATTAGACACATATGAGGCAATAGTTGGTCTTCAAAAAATAATAGTATAAGATGTTAAATGCAAAAACTCAGACTAAATTTAGAATTGTCACCAATTAAAGATAAGGTATCTTTGGTGGAATTAATCATAATATTATTATTAAATTTATAATTATAATTACAATTATAATTTTTAAAATGATAATAGATAAAGAAATAATTAAAATTTAGTGGAGTAAAATGGCGGGTCTACACAAAATTGAGAAAAAAACTTAAAAGTAATTGGGAGAAAGGTTTTTGTAATTGAGTGAAATAGTAGATGATGAGACTCACAAAAAACTAGAAAAAAAAAAAATTTCCAATTACGGATAAGGATGTTCTTATTATCTGATCATCAGACATGAGAACGTATATGAAATTATACTCAAATTAGTGATGGGATGAACCTGGATTGGTTGCATGTCCATCACACTTACTACCAATATTATATTATATTATACTCCCTCTGTCCCATTTTGCCTGTCCTGTTTACTATTCATTGATCAATCCAACTCTTTTTTCATTGCTTTTTTTTTTTAGTAATTTTTAATTATTTTTAAATTTAATTTTTATGTTTAATAGTACTTTTAATGTAGTTTCTAAATATATAAATTTTATATACTAAAAATAAATTTAATACTATAAAAAATTGAAGTAAAAATAGCTTCAGTCAAGCCTCGTTAACCAAACCAGACAAACAAAATAGGACGGAGGTAGTATTATATTTAGAGTTGGGGTTCAACCTTTTGAAAAAATATTATATTATATTAAATTACTTGGTAGCTCAGTTGATTATGTGGGTAAAATTTGAAAAAAAAATAAATTCAGCGATTGAGTCAAAGGGGGGTATATTAAATCAATTGTGTTCACCTGATGAGCTCTCTCACCAGTAGCATATTAAACAATCATAGCTGTGTTCACCTGATGAGCTCTTACTAATATTAAATCGATCTTATCCTATTGTTACTATTAGCCATGCACTAAATTAGGATGCACCACCTTTTCTTAGTTATAGTAACTCTCAATACAACTTTTCTTAGCTATCGTACTTGTCTGAGGTATATTGTTTATATATATATATATATATATATATATATATATATATATATATATATATATATATATATATATATAGAATTAGGATCAAATGCGGTTCACATTAAGCACAAACCTCACGCACCTTAAGCACAAGACTCACGCACCTTAAGTACAAAACTTACGTACATTAATTATCCGCACAACCGCACGGAAACACTTATCCGCACTGAAACTTAATTATATATATATATATATATATATATATATATATATATATATATATATATATATATATATATATATATATATATAGGCGAGTTCATGTGCGGCAGTGTCTTACGGTGCGACGATTTCTTACGGTGCGGCAACACCAATAGCTCAACAAATATGCACCATCAACGTTAGGAAAATACACCACACAAAACAGAGTAAACAGAGCCCTGCATCACCAAACACACACCATTAGGTGTGAGTAAAAACACCATACACTGTTCGGAAATACACCATTGGGGGTGTTGAGTTATATGGTGTATTTTTTTGAGTCTGTGGTGTATTTTGTGATGTTTTATTACATTTCATTGTGGTGTGTTTTTATTACACTGTTGGTGCATATTGTTAACAATGTTGGTGTATTCTGGAATTTCGCCGCACCGCCGCACGGTAAGATCAGACCCCGCCGCATATGAGCGCTCTTCTATATATATATATATATATATATATATATATATATATATATATATATATATATATATATATATATATATGGAGTGGATCATGTGCAAAGATAACTTCCCGTGCAGTTGTGCAGTTAACACAAAAAGACGTACCTTTCAGAGTCACCACCCGCATCAAAATTTTTAGACCTTTGAGATTTCTAACACTAGATGTAACAACCTTGACCTTTAAAGACCAAACAATTATTTATAAATATAAATGACTATTAATCATCATCACCATTTTCTAAATAATAATATAGAAGATCCAAAAAATTAAAGAATACAATAATAATAAGGATAGAGATAATAACTGTAACAATAATTGCTCACCAAAATAATAATTGCTTCCAAACCATATGACTATATTATAGTTAACATAGCCGTCTCTTATTTATTTAAATAGTGAGAATTAGTCCCAAAAAAAAAACCTTTTCCAATTCCATATTTAAACGTTCAATGTTAATTTACACCTAGGGATGACAATATGCCCCGTCTCCGGTCCCATAGGGGACGGGGACGGGGACGAGAATGGGGAAAAATTTCGAGGATCGGAAACAGGGATGGGGAATTTTTTAAATTTCCCGGTGGGGGCGGAGACGGGGACGGGGACGGGGATACCCCGTCCCCGAATAATTATTATAATTAATATATATATATATATATATATATATATATATATATATATATATATATATATATTAGTTTTTTAAAAAAAATTAATACTTATTCTTTTATTTTTTAAAATTAAAAATTACAATAAATTTAGATTTTGACTAAGAGTTGATCGGGGAACCCGCCGAATTTCCCGCGGGGACAAAGATGGGGACTATTTTTAATTCCCCGTCGGGAATGGGGACAATGACGGGAACGGGTTCAGGATTTCGGGGACGGGGACGGGAAGTATACTCCCGCTCCGCCCCGCCCTCGCCCCGCCCCGTTACCATCCCTATTTACACCAAACCTAGCTATTAAGTTGTTTACATATATAAACTAGAACTTCTAAACCAAACTAATAAAAAACCTAAACCTTAGACCCAAAAAATAAATAAATAAATAAATAATAAAAAAACCACTGAATCCAGACTCTAAAAAGTGAATCTTTTCATTACACTTTTACAAATCATAAAATGACAAAATACACTCTATAATATTGTAAAATATTGGATTGGATTTTCCACCTATGTGATAAATAATTTGGACCAAGGTCATTTGTATCTACTATATTTTTTGTTCCACTCCATTATTATTATTATTATTAGTAAGTATATATATATATATATATATATATATATATATATATATATATATATATATATAAAAGTTAGGAATTATGAATGGACAAAGGAAAGGGTGAGGCGGCAGCATGTGTTAAACGGAAACAAGTTTCCTATTTTCTTTTGCCTTCTTTCATATACATATGTTGCGGTAGTGGCAAGAAAGCAAGGAAACGAATTTCCTAGTGTTTCCTTCTCCAAATTATATATATGTTGATCAGCATAGGAGAAGAAGATGACTTGACTAGAGAGGCGAATGCGAGATCGAAAACTTCTCTTCATTTCTTTTGTACTGCCCACTATTTTTAGCGGCACTACGGCAGCGTGTTCGGCAGATTTAATTTTGTCGCATGTTTGATGAATTTGTCGTAAGGTTTGCCGAGGTTCTTGGGTGATATCTTGATCAAATATTTTTAGAGATCAGCTTAATTGTTTGTTCTAGAAATATTCTCGTAATATTTGTATTCTTTTCACTTTGCGGGATTATAACTTAAGTATGGACACATCTCATCTCAACTCATTAATTCAGATAAAATAATCCTTACGAATCTTCAGAGTTGAGGTGCAATTGTGGAATTATAATATAACTTACTAGGCATTGTCCTGTGCAATGCATAATTTAAACTTAAATATAAATAAAACATGAAGTATTGTTATAACATTTATAATATTGATCGCTTTCTATGGACAAACACTCGATCGTTGATGAATAAACTAGGCCTGTGCGTCGGACGGTTCGGTTCGGTTCGGATACTCGGAGGGCCAAACTGCACGGATTTCGGATTATTATTTTTAGACCCAATCTCATTGTATCAATTTGTAAAATCTTTTCGGTTTTATAGGATTTCGGTTGAGGACGGGTCGGTCGGATATCCGAACGCATCTCGGATATTTAAAATATAAAAACAAAATTAAATAATTGACTAAAACGTGTAAAAATTAAGTAAAACTGAAAAAATTTACAAAAACATGTAGTGCACTGTGCACAAACTACATGTAAAGCTACTAAACTAGACAACTAGTACTTAGACAGTTAGACTCCAAAAAGTCAAATGGGCAAGGGCAATTATGAATTTGCTTATACAAAATGTAAAACTGTAAAAGTAGCCAATTTCTAAAAAACACTGCAGCAACCACCATTGCACCAAATTACCAAAATTACAGTAATTCAAAAAATATCCAAGTTCCTAGCTCAGACTGCTCAGTAGTTCCTACTTTAGCTCTAGCCTACTGTTCTTCTTCTTCCTGTCAATACTCAAAACTTAAGATGAATTAGTAAAAACAAAATAAGTTATAAACTATAAAAGGTAGAAAATAAGATATTAAACATTGACTCAGTAAGCTTTTTGTCCATATCAAAGTTAGGATTAAAGGCAAATTGCTACAACATCCCCATGAGGATAGAGCAACATACCAGCTTAATCCCTTATTTCAGATCATTGGTGGAAGCTTTCATCATCGCCATAACAAATAGTTAAATTATTTAAAGTCTTAAATACATAATACAATGATTCATTACTAGTAGTACAGCACCCTTGAGTCCAACAACAAACTTACCAACTAACAGTTATACCACTGTGGCACTGTCCAGTGCACCAAGGTCTAAGGGCAGCAACTAACAAGTTAGTAAGTTACCAAGCCTCATTAGGACAACTGGACAACTAGGCAGCAACTAATTACTAATTAGTTACCAAGCCTCATGAGTCACGAGTAATACAATATACAGATTACATTAATGCAAGAATATAAAGTAGTATAAAGTATAAAGCATAACATTACAGGAATCGTAGGAAGTGTAGAACCACCAATCCTCCCAGCTCCACTCCCACCATCAGCACCTAATTCTGCAAATACAAGGACAAGTTTAAAATAAAAGTAAATAGAAAATGCAGGAAAGTTAAGTGTTAGTATGTTACCTTGTTCAAATCTCTCCAATTCCTCCAGATTTTCCTCAATTGATATGGGGGTATTAGGCAGTCTAAGCCAATCCTGAGTACAAACCAGAGCTTCCACAATTTTAGGAGTTAAAGAACTCCTAAAAGGATTTAAAACCCTCCCTGATGTACTGAAGGCAGATTCTGAGGCAACAGTGGATATTGGTATAGCTAAGACATCTCTAGCTACTTTTGAAAGGATAGGAAATCTTTCAGCATTCAGCTTCCACCATCTAAGTATGTCAAAAGAAGATTCTTCTTCAACTAATGCCTCAGCAAGGTAAATTTCCAACTCAGTTTTTTTCTTTCCCCAACTCTCCATTCTTTGTTTCTTAATCTGGGACTTTAACAAACCCTGGGGCTTCCCAACATTAGACTGTGAAGAATCAGTAGAAGAGATGACAGAAACAGTAGGGACAACAGTAGAAGGAATCACAGGAGCAATAGGGACAACAGAGGCAGCATAATCATCAAACAACTCTGTAAAAGCTGCAACCACTTTCTCATAGTAGGTTTTACCTTTTAACTCACCATACATGTGTAAGATCTGTGTTGGCATGTACTCTAATTTGTCCCTGGGGTCAAGAATGTTTGCAAAGAATATCATCAAGTTCATCTTATCTATATCCCCCCAATACTTTTCAAATTTAACCTTCATAGTTTCCCCCATTAATTTCACAGAACCACCAGCTTCCACCATTCCATTCAATAGGAAATATAAATTAGAAATTTCAGAAAAAAAGTGTTAGATGTGACATATAAAGAACCTAAAATTCTTATTGTCATATCATAAAAACACTTCAACAGATTCACCAAACTCTTCACAGACTCCCAATCAAGAAAGTTAGGAATAGAATCACCCAAATCTGATTTGAAGGAAGAATCACTTTCTTCAAGTGAATAAAACACTTTCTCATAAAATACTGCAGATTGTAACATAAGATATGTAGAGTTCCATCTGGTTGGAACATCTAGACATAGAGAAGATTTCTTTTCAATCCCAAGCCATTCAGACAAGTCCTTAAATTTCTTAAGTCTAGCAGGTGAACTTCTCACATACCTTACAACATCCCTAACCTTCTTCACAGAATCATCACACTGTTTTAGCCCATCTTGCACAACTAAATTCAAAATATGGGCAATGCATCTCATGTGAATGTACTTGCCCTTCACAGTAGATGTTCCCTAAGACATCAATTTCTTTTTTAAAAAACCTAGGGCAGTGTCATTTGATGATGCATTGTCCACTGTAATAGTGTAGACATTTCTAATAACCCAATCCAGCAAACAGTTTTTAAGGGATTTTGCAACAGACTCACCTTTGTGTGATGTGATAGGGACAAATGAAATAATTTTTTTATTTAGCCTCCACTCTTCATCTATAAAGTGAGCAGTAACTACCATGTAGTTAATTCTCTGAATAGAAGTCCAAGTATCAGTAGTAATACTGACTCTTTGAGTGTTTCCCCTAAACATGCACTTCAACTTGAGCCTTTCCTCTTCATAAATCAAATTGATGTCCCTACTAATTGTCCATCTTGATGGAATCTTAAACCTAGGACAACATACCAGAATGAACTTCCTAAATCCAGGACCTTCAACAAATCTAAAAGGGAGTTCATCTATTATAATCATTTCAACTAAGGCCTTCCTAATAGCTTCTTGATTAAAGACCCAAGTTCCTAACTCACCAACAGTAGCAGGAGATGCATCAGAATTGGTAACAGCTTGAAAGGTCAGAAGTGATTGTCTTGTGTCTTTTGAGTGAGGGTTTTTAAGACAGTTAAACATGTGGGTTCTCAATGATGAAGTACCATGTTTTTTGGTCTCACATTTATATATTTTGGCACAATATATACACTTGCCCTCAACAGTAACATTATTCTCATCAACAATCTTTTCAAAATGATCCCACACAGGAGATCTGGATTCAACTACCTTCCTTTTCTTCGGAAGAACCGCAGCAGTAGGTTGCACATTCTGTTGATCATTATTTATCTCAAAAGTCTGAGCTTCCACCACTGTAGATCCATGAAGTGAAGAGTTGGAAGGTTGACTACCAGACTCTATGATATTTTCCATCTAAAGAAATGGAATACTATCAGTACAGTGGGAACCATTTCAAAGAATGTCAGAATTAGAGAAATCCAGAATCAGAAGACAGGCAGTTCCTAACTTCATCATTTTTCTAAATTTCATAATTGGGACTTTAAGGAATTAACTATTAAGGGTCATACATCCATAAACTTATAACTTATAAGTTATAAACATAGTAACATACAGGCATACATGGATACAATCACAGTATCACATTAATCACACAAAGTGACAAAGAAATCCAGAAATCAGGATGGTGAAAGCCTGAAGTTTACATTCATCATTTTACTGGATTTCACAATTCGTAGTTACAATTGGGGCTTCCACCATTTTCACCAACACAGGCAACATCCAACAGCCAACAGGGGTTAGGGACTTAGGGGCTTCCACAAACAATACAGACAAAGTATAATCAACAAGTGTAAGGGAAATTGAAACATGTGCTCCATCTCAACTAAAAGCCTAAGCTGATAGTTGGATACACATTAATGGATATATGCTCACACGCCCCCTCACGTGTACGGTGGATTCCAACCAACACATGGACCGGTAAACCGTTGTCGCTTATGAGTGGCGTTGAGATTCAAACTCATGACCTTTGGTCTGGCTTTGATACCAAATTGAAACATGTGCTCCATCTCAACTAAAAGCCTAAGCTGATAGTTGGATACACATTAATGGATATATGCTCACAAGGGACTTAGGGGCTTCCACAAACAATCACAACTAAGTGATTCTAAAATGTCACAGTCCATATAATCATAGAAACCCTAATCAAAGGATCAAAAATTCATAAATAAGGGACAAGTGACATGCAATCCGGAACTTCTCAACAGATTCACATTGTCACAGTCATCAGAATCATAGAAACCCTAATCAAAGGATCAAAAATTCACAAATAAGGGACAAGTGACATGCAATCCGGAACTTCTCAACAGATTCACTTTGTCACAGTCATCAGAATCATAGAATCACAAATAACAACAACGTATCACAATATATAAGAGTATAATCTAAGTATGTCTAAGATTATGGTTTAGAGATTACTTCGTTTCTCCAAATCAAACCCCCGAGAACAAAGGGCTTCAAATCCGTGAGACCGTGACAGCAATCTACAATCCACCGCACCGGCCACCGGTCGTCCAGACTCTAGAATAGGGCTTCCACGGAACAATATTAGCTAGCTTCCACCGGAGACTCAAACTCAGAGAGAACGAGAGAACTCAGAGACTCAGAGTCTCACAGAGTCAGAGATCTGGAGAAGAAAGAAGTAAGAACTAACTAGGGTTTCAGATTTCAGAGAAGAAAGACGAGACTCGCGAGAGAAGTTCAAAGAACGACTCTAGAGAGTTCTCAGAAGTCAGAAGAAAGACGAGGAAGCTGCGGAAATGAGTAGGGTTTCCTCCAAAGGTAACATATATACACCGCTTACACGACGTCGTATACCTTAGGGTATACGCAGTCTTACCCTAATTCGGGTTGTCGGACGGGTTCGGGGGGATTTTATAACCCCCAACCCGCCTCGTTCTAACCGGCTACGTGGCGTGTGAACGGTTCGGGTATGCTAATTCGGGCTCGGATTCCACCCAAGTGCATATATTCGGGTTCGGGTGGGTCGGGTTTTTCGGGTGGGTCGATTTATGCACAGCCCTAGAATAAACCGTGGCTCTAAATCGCAACGCTAAAAGTGATGATTCAAGAAAATAAAAAACAAACCAACAGGCTATATAAATAGCCTTACCTTTTTTCTTAAAGAGAATAAAAAAAAGATATTTTAGTCCAAGAAAGAAAAACAGTTTTCACCTAAACTCTTTAAGTGTTCTCGCGTGCCCACCCACTAAATGAATTAGAGGTCGGATAATTGAATGGTTGTTGATTCTATAAAAGCATGCTTCAAGGCTAAGAACATCAAACCCATTCTTTAAACATAGAATCTAAAAAAAAAAAAAAAAAGTTATTGATGCTTTCGTTGGGCGTATGTTTTTCCAACAGCCATAACTTTTTTATCACACATTGTAACATTATTTGATTTATTTACCATATCGGGCAATTCAGCCAAAAGACGCTACATAAACTCAATTGCTAGCTAGTTGTCCCGTGACACTTGACAAAAAGAAATTTATGGCACTTGACAAGAAGAATCACACTCCAATCTTAAAGCTTAGCTTTCACTTTCACTGGGAGAGGTAAGTTACAAAGTTAGTTGAATTGGAATATGTATGAATAAAGGATGACTTTCAAAAATAAAAATAAAAATGTATCAATAATAGATCTAGCTATGTAGAAAATCATTTGGAGTGAGAAAAGTCGTCTATATATCCATGATCATGTAGATATGGAAGTGACTTGGAGTGAAAAAAAAAAAAAAAAAAAACCATTCCATATTTAAACGTTCAATGTTAATTTACACCAAACCTAGCTATTAAGTTGTCTACATATATAACTAGAACTTCTAAACCAAACTAATAAAAAACCTAAACCTTAGACCCAAAAAGAAAATTGTTCGAAAATAACAATGTGTGGCTAAAATCCATTCAATTTCATGAAGACAATCATCCGCGTTGCATGCTTAATTACATCCTCCACGTTCGAGTAGGCTATTGCATTGTAAAACACATCATCATTTCCTTCATTCTTGTCTTTATCTCACGTAGATAATATATATATATATATATATATATATATATATATATATATATATATATATATATATATATCATTATATCTCTTGTATTCCCCTTTTGAGAGATTATATATATATATATATATTTTTGTATTTCCTAATTCGTTTGGCATTTTATACAATTTTTCTAATTTATATTCTTCAACTTCTCTATAATTCTCAATTTTCGATTCTCCGCTTCCACATTATTCTGTTATATTCCTAACAAGTTGTATCAGAGCGGTTTATTTGAGAATTATTTTCAAAGATGTTGACTGTCACTAAGTTCGATATCGAGAAGGTCGACGGGAAAATTAGCTTCTCTATCTAGAAGGTTCAGAAGGAAGCCGTTCTAACCCAGAACGGTTTGAAGAAAGCGCTAGCTGAGAAGAAGAAGAAATCAGCTACAATGACAGATGAAACTTGGGAAGATTTGGATGACAAGGCACGTTCAACCATTCTTTTGTGCCTGTCTAACGAGGTTCAACGTGAGGTAGTAAGTGAGACGACTGCGTTAGATTTATGGTCCAAGCTGGATACGCTTTACATGGCCAAAACTCTAGTGAACAAGCTGCGCCTGAAGGAGCGTCTGTACACAATCCGTATGACGGAAGGTACTTCTATTAAATCTCACTTGGATGAATTCAATTCTATTTTATTGGACTTGGAAAATATTGATGTCATAATTGAAGATGAGGATCGCACTGTTTTATTGATTGTCTCTCTCCCTAAATCATACAAGGATTTCAAAGAAATTATGTTGTATGGTAATAGTAGTGATACCCTTACTTTTGACAATGTTAAGTCAAACCTATTGTCCAAAGAAAAGTTTGACTTTGAAATTAAGTATGAGGATAAAGGTGAAGGCTTGAACGTAAGGGGTCGTTCACATGAATCAGGGAGTAGCAATAAAAATTCTAGATCCAAGTCCAAAGGACGTAAGTCCAACAAATCCTGTAAGTACTGCATGAAGCAGGGTCATGATGTAACTGAATGCTTCAAGTTGAAAAACAAGCAAGAAAGAGAAAAGAAGTTTGTTGAAGCTAGTGTTGTTGAAAGTGATTCAGAAGGCGATGTTATGTTATCTGTTAGCTCCGGTTGCAAACGGAGCGAAACTGAGTGGATTCTGGACTCTGGTTGTACATTCCACATGTGTCCTCACAAAGACTGGTTTTCTCTCTGGAACCGGTTGATGGTGGAGTTGTCTTGCTGGGTAATGATACCCAATGCAAGGTTCGTGGAATTGGAAGTGTGCATATTAAAACTCATAATAACGTTATCAGGACTCTTACCAATGTTCGGTATATTCCTGATTTGAAACGCAATATGATATCCTTGGGCACCTTGGAATCTCTGGGGTGTAAGTACATAGCTGAAGGTTGAGTTTTGAAGGTCATAAAAGGCTCTCTTATTCTCGTGAAAGCTTCTTGATCTGGAAGCTTGTACGTCTTGCGTGGCAGTACTGTGACATGTTCAGTAGCGGTATCCTCATCGATGTCTGATGCGGATCTCACTCAATTATGGCATATGCGTCTAGAGCATATGAGTGAGAAAGACATGCATCTCCTGAGCAAGAAAGACCTCATTGTTGGTTCAGGTACGGGTAAATTACAATTTTGTGAGCATTGTGTTTTTGGGAAACAAAAGAGGGTTAGTTTCTCTACTGCTACACACCGTACCAAAGATGTATTGGAATACATACATTCTGATTTATGGGGACCGACTAAATTTCAGTCTATGGGAGGCTGTAGATATTTTATGTCTATTATTGATGACTTTTCTCGTAAAGTCTGGGTTTATTTCCTGAAACATAAAAATCAGGCATTTTCTATTTTCAAGAAGTGGAAAATACTTGTTGAGACTCAGACAGGTAAAAAAGTCAAGAAGCTCAGGACAGATAATGGCTTGGAGTTCTGTGAGTCATATTTCAATGACTTCTGTGCGGCAAATGGAATCGCCAGGCACAAGACCTTGCCTGGTAAACCCCAGCAAAATGGTGTTGCCGAACATTTGAACAGGACTCTATTGGAAATAGCTCGTTGTATGCTCTCTAATGCTGGGTTATGGAAACGACGTGATTTTTGGGCCGAGGCCGTTTCTACTACTTGCTATATTTGGTAAATAGATCTCCACATTCATCCCTTGATGTTAAAATTCCAGAGGAAGTTTGGTCAGATAATCCTGTTGACGACTCTATCTTAAGAGTTTTTGGATGTCCTGCTTATGCTCATTCCAGTACGGGTAAATTAAACCTGAGAGCTGTCAAATGCATTTTCCTTGGTTATGCTTCTGAGTCAAAAGGGTATCGTCTATGGTCTCCTGATTCTCGGAAAATCATTTTGAGTCAAGATATCACTTTTGATGAAAATGCACTACTTTCTTCTGGAAAACTTCCCAGAACAGGTGAGACGCAAAGTACTGGTGAAAAGGTAGAGTTTGAGTTCAGGCCTATTAATAGTATTACTACCACTGATGGTAATACTAAAGATGATGCATCTACTAGCATCGCACCTCTCGTCGAGCCACAACGAGAGTATTCCATTGCTATGGATCGTTCTAGGGGGACAATTAGAAAACCTGCTAGGTATGCTAGTGATGATGAAACCAACATGGTTGCTTATGCACTTTCAGTCGCATAGGAGGTTGATGGTGATCCATCCTACTATTTTGAGGCTCTACCTATTGCTAAGTTCAAGCAACGCTTGAATTTAGTCGACTGTTCCAGTTGTTAATTCCTACAATAGATTTAATCCAAGACGGAGATTGTTAGAAAAATAATAAATGTGGCTCAAATTGTATGAAGACCACTCATGCACTCCCTTGCACGTCTTCGTACGTTCTGCCGTTATTGCCACCGTTGCCGCATTTGTCTTCCCCACGTAGCAATACATTCACCATTACATGCACTAATCCTCCACATTTGTCTCTATATTTTATTGTATAAATAGATTTGCTTTGTAATGCACCTCTTATCAACATCAATTCATCATTTGAATTTATTCATTTACTTTGTCTTCTCACGTATGCAATATATATATATTTCTTTTAATTCTCTTTATAGAGATTAATATATATATATATATATATATATATATATATATATATATATATATTCCCATTCTTATTAATTTATTTTGTCATTTTATATATTTTCCTATTATTTAACTTCTATAATTCTCAATTTTCGATTCTTCGCTTCCGCATTATTCCGCTATATTCCTAAAAAAATAAAATAAAATAAAAAAAAAACAAAAAATAAAAAAAACTACTGAATCCAGACTCTAAAAAGTGAATCTTTTCATTACACTTTTACAAATCATAAAATGACAAAATACACTCTATAATATTGTAAAATGTTGGATTGAATTTCCCTCCTATGTGATAAATAGTTTGGACCAAGGTCATTTGTATCTACTATATTTTTTGTTCCACTCCATTATTATTATTATTATTAGGGATAAAGTACAAATAAGTCACTGAACTATTTGGAAAAAAGCAATTAAGCCATCGAATTCAAATAACCCCCAAATAAGTCATTGAACCCGAATTCAAGTTAGTTGGTCAAACAATTGACTTGATAACTATTAGGTTTCAAATTTAACTTCTTGTAAGAGTTGTCTATCAGCCTTCTTAACTCGCTTGAGTTGTCTATAAGCCTTCTTATTATTGCCATTATCGGCTACGGTCACAATATAATCTTCACTTTTCACTCAGAGTACGCTTTCGATTAACAACTACGGACTTTTTGATGAATCAAATAAAATAATTATCCATAGTTACACATAATTTCAGAGAGGGTCTTATAAACCTTCCCAAGTTCTAGTTTCCCAACTTCTATGGGTATACGTTTAAATTTCTCTTTGCTCATTATCGATTAATTTTAATTTTTAAGTATATAAATATACAAATTAAATTTATCTTTTCAATCAAGAGAATACGAATCCAATTTGACTTGAATTGATAATAGGCCTAACCCCACTCAAAACAATGCCTTAAAATATACCATTTGCATGCTAATTCTTTAACAACATAAATACTATCGAGTCAAATTCTACTATTTATCTCCACATCAAAACTTCGAAATTGAAGTGAAATTCATTATTTAAAAAAAATTAAAAAAATAAAAAACATAGTAACCCCATTCTTCAATAGGTGATCATGTCGCACCCGCACCTCTCTCTCTCTCTCTCTATATATATATATATATATATATATATATATATATATATATATATATATATATATAGGGACGCACTCAGGTGCGAATAAATGCCCAGGAAGGAAATGCGAACGAATCAGCGCGTGACACGTGTCCAGATCTAATAACTTAAAAAAAAATGCGGTGGCATTTTCGTAAATAATTGAACATCGAAGTGCAAGTAAAATCTCTTATAAGTGCACATATTTTCACCTATAAGTGAATGTAATTTTGCCTTGTTAGCATTCACTTTTCGCAACCATTCATGCACCTGGGTGTGCTTATAACTATATGTGCAACTATTTATAACTATAGGTGCAACTACTTATAACTATATGTGCACCTACTTTCACCTATAAGTGCATGTAATTTTGTCTTGTTAACATTCATTGATCTGAGTTCAGCGGGTAGTAATACTCCTGAAAACCACTCGCAAACATTCATACACCTAGATGCAACTACTTATACCTATGTGTGCAACTACTTAGAACTATAGGTGCAACTACTTAGAACTATAAGTGCAACTAAGTATTGATGCTCAGTGTAAATTTTTACTTGCACCTATAATACATTTTACATGCACTTGTAATACATTTTACTTGCACTTCGATGTTCAATTATTTACGAAAATGCCACCGCGTTTTTTTAAAAAATCAGTGTTTCTCATCCATTAGATCTGGACACGTGGACGAACAGAATCCATTCCTATTTCGCGCCTGGGCGAGCCGTTCGCACCCGAGTGCAACTCTATATATATATATATATATATATATATATATATATATATATATATATATATATATATATATATATATATACTTATGCTAGTATTCATTTATTATCTACGTTTATAATAAAAAACGCATAATGATTTAAACATCTTTATGAGCTAGTGCCTCGGGAATTCAATTGAATTATTATCTCTTTGTTTTAGCTTTTTGTTTATGAAAATGGATTAGGAACAACACAAATAACATAATGTGTAAACACTTAATACCATTTTATTACCAACAATATTTTAGTTCTAATTAAGGACTAACTTACTCTTATTAAATTTTAGAGTTATGTTCAAACTTATAAAAACATCTATGTGATAATTAGAATTATAGTATAAAATTTTTATTAGATTTAAGTGTAATATTAATAATTAAAGTTGTGAGTTGTGTATTACCCGCACCTGCAAAATCTCCGCAAGAGCGGGTATAGAGTAGAAATTTTATTACCCGCGCGGGTGCAAAAAATGGGTTGGGAATACGGGTGCGGGGCGGGGATATCCCCCGCACTCACTCCACCCCATTGTCATCCCTAATCATGTGTGAAACCAAAATAAATAGATTTATTTAGCGGCGGTTTCAAAACCGGAAACTGCCGCTAAAAGCAAACCAAAATAAATAGATTTATTTAGCGGCGGTTATGAAATCGCCGCTAAAAGAAAATGAAAATAAATAGATTTATTTAGCGGCGGTTTCAAAACCGCCGCTAAAAGCAAACGAAATAAATAGATTTATTTAGTGGCGGTTACGCAACCGCTGCTAAATGCATTCAAAACCGCCGCAAAATAAGTTTCCTATGAATTCCCGCGGTTGTAGAAAATCGTCGCTAAATGCTTCGCGACACACTATTTAGACACGGTTGAATAACCACCGCTAAATGCCTGATTTGGTGTAGTAAATTGGGGTTGATTTGACTTACTTTAATTAGATTTTGATTTGTGATCAATAGCTACATGTTTTTATAATTGCAATTTGACCCTAAACTCGTTTTAATAATCTATATCTATATCTATATATATATACCTATATATCTATATATATATATATATATATATATATATATATATATATATATATATATATATATATATATATATATATATAAAAGTAAAATCCTCCAAACCAATTTTTCCCGCCAAAACTTAGGGTCATTTATGTAAATTCATATATATTCTGTTTATGGAAAGAATAATTTGGTCATTAATATATATATATATATATATATATATATATATATATATATATATATATATATATATATATATATATAGATGTATATATTGATATTAATAATATATAAATTTGGTAGTAAAAGAATAATTAAATAATTAAATATAGTAAATATTCCGTGTGATATATATATATAGACATTATATACAATTAATATTTAATTTAATCTATATCCATATAATAATAATAATAATAATAATAATAATAATAATAATAATAATAATAATAATAATAATAATAATAATTTTATTACCTTACTTACTTTATTTTCTATATTTTTTAAATAAATTATTATACTTTCCTTTCGAATTATTATTTTACACCTATAAATACAAATTATAGACTTTGGCATTCATTCATCTTCCCTCACACTACTGGTTCTTCATGATTTTCAATCTATTCCTACGTCTTCTTCAATCCTAGCAAAACTCATTCACTTAATCTCTAGTAATTGTTTCTATTCTCCAAATTCTTTTGTTTAAATCTAAGTTTGTTGAGATTGATGATGATGATCAAAGAATAATATGATTTGGTTATTATTATTATTGGATTTATTTGATTCACAGGTTTCGTATCAAGGTGGTTAGGATGCTATTAAGGTTGATAGAAAGTTTGCCTTCAAGAGTAAGATTTTATATTCACCAAAATTATTATTTTCCCTAAGTATTGTATGTATTGATATTATATGTGATATTATATGATACTACGTATATGTTATTCATGTGAACACAAGTACATTTATCTATAATTATATTTTGGACAAATCATGTGGAGAAAATTGTTTTTTTTTTTTTGAAAAATGTATTTGGAGAAGATTATATATTTTGGAGAAAATTATATTTTTGTGGAGAAATAATGAAATTTTGAGAAAATAATATATTGTGTGGTGTCCAAGTAAGATTGAGTACTGTTTTTTTGAAATTTCCATGGTGCTTTCATTAGAAATATGCTGCAAGAGTGAGTACTGTTTACTTGGACTATTTACTACTCATTGGGCTTGGAATCCCATGAGGGGGTATCACATCAGTTATGATTCAGTTTCGGAAATGTATAACTCCACATGTATTTTGAAAAAGTATGAAATTACATGAGTTTTGAAAATATAAAAAATCCAAGCCATTATTTTACGATGTGAAGTGAAACTTACTTAGCTTATGCTAATTTTTGTCTACATTCTGTTCTTGTGTTAAATTATTTATACGTACAGGTGAACATGGATAGGAATTCGGGATGAATTCAAGTTGAGAAGGAATAAAGTTTAATTATTTGTTATTTTGAGGAAAAAATATTGGTGTATGGTAATTTCAGTTTTAAGTACTAAGTTGATTTTGAGATATTATTTGATGTTGTAAATTTAGCATAATTACCATAAATAATGTTTAATAATTGACAAATTCTATTAGGCAATAAAAATTACCATTATAAAATATTTTGTACTATGGACACATTATTTTTAATTATTTCGATTTAATAATATTATATCTTATTTATAAAAAATCAAAGTAATACTTTTAGTACTATTGATATTGATTGACTAAAAATAATCTTAATTATTATTAAGGCAATTAATAGGTATTTAGCTTTAAAAAGTCTTCAAATATATGAATTATATATTCATAGAATCAATTAGTAAGACAGTTATATTAGATAATCTAATTAATAATTTACTTTTTAAATTATATCCCTTTTCAATAATGAATATAAGATTTCTTCCATGGAAATATTTGTGACAATTTCATTAAATTACAATTAATAAAATATAAAATATAATTAAGAAAATAAAATTATAAAATTAACAAAACATGAATATTTATAATTTTTAAAAAATATACATACATACATTTTTTTTAGATTTTTTGATCTGAAAGGAGGGCGTAAACCCATGAAAACTAGCACTGCTGCTGCTCGCCATGAATGGCTCTTGAAACTCGTCTGGGGAAGGTGGCACCCATGCGATCCTGATCCATTATCTCACTCAACTCTTGAGGAGTCTCTAGGAAAACCTGAAGACCTATCGGACGGTTGAGCGCCATCTTGGCCATGGTGTCAGCCGCCCTATTCTGCTCCCTATAAACGTGCTTGAAGACCACTTCCTGTATGCTAGCCGCTTCGTGGACTGCTCTCTGAATGACATTGTTGCCGCCAGCAGCCCCTCGCATGGCTGCGTTCATCATCTCTACCATCTTCTTAGAGTCACACTCCACGATCAGATTGGTGGCACCGAAGGTCTTCGCAACGCAGAGTCCCATAAGGATGCCCCAAGCCTCCGCATCATCACCGGAGCAGCTTCCAATCCGGTGGATGTACCCTCTACACCAGTCACCTCTCGGGTTTTAGATAATACATACACTTATGCACTATACTAATAATAATACAAAATTTAAATGTTACTTTTTTAACAAAAAATTTCTAAATTGAATATTGATTGGACTAAAAATAATCTTAATTGTTATTAAGGCAATTAATAGGTATTTAGCTTTAAAAAATCTTCAAATATATGAATTATATATGCATAGAATCAATTAGTAGGACAATTATATTAGGTATAATCTAATTAATAATTTACTTTTTAAATTATATCCCTTTTCAATAATGAATATAAGATTTCTTCCATGGAAATATTTGTGACAATTTCATTAAATTATAATTAATAAAATATGAAATATAATTAAGAAAAATAAAATTAAAAAATTAAAAAAAACATTAATATTTATAATTTTAAATAAATATACATACATACACCAAGACTATGTAGTCTAATGGTACCCGGGTTGGATTTTCATTTGGAAGGTTTTGAGTTCAAGCCTGAGTGGAGGCGTTATTGGTTCTTTGTGTTTTAGTAGGTTGAGAAAGTATATGAACAGATACTAATGTAATAGAGCCAGTAGCATTCAAAAAAAAAAAAAAAAAAACATACATACACTTTTTTTTTAGATAATACATACACTTATGCACTATACTAATAATAATACAAAATTTAAATGTTACTTTTTTTTTTAATTTCTAAATGTAATTTTTAATTATAAATCAATGAGTGCACATAATAGTGTTTATTTCAGTGTATTTTAGAGAATGAGATTACAGGCTTTATATACACAAAGAAGAGCTAAATGATAGGAAACTAACATAGAATTATTCTAACAATCCTAATAATGCTAACTGCTCAATAAAATCTATCAATATAAATTATAATTAATGAAATTATATTATATAACTTTCCTATGTACATATTAATAAATATTATGGGTATATACAATGTATTATACAATCATATAAGGAAATGCATCTGATTAGAGTTTAGATTTACTCATACAAAATTTAAAATTTACATTTTTTAAATTGATTTTTAAGTATTTATAATTTTGTTAGTTATTATACATATTTTTAGAATTAAAATATATATGAAATATAATTAGGAATAAATCAACTTAATTGTGTGAATTTTTTCAATAAATTTATCTAAATCTGTAATGATTAGAGATTATATTAATCATACAAAATTTAAATTTTGTATGTTACGAAAATAGATACTTGACCAAATATATAAAAGTCCAACTATATTATTATATATTGTAGAGTTTAACATCTTTTCGTTTTTGTCTATTTTCAATTTTAAATTCTTAATAACAAAATTTTTTCGTGCAACGAACGAGTAAAACACTATAGTTTAAAAAATACAATTTGATAAATGTCATAAATTAATTAGTATAATATCATTTTTGTTTATAATAATTTAAGAAAAAAATAAGTAATTCAAATATGTGAATCAATGATTTCAAAATGAAATTAATATACAGTTACAAATAAATATAGCATGACTATATTTATTTTAATTAGTTTTAATTTTTTTTTAATGAAATGACTTTTCTTTATCAGTTTTTGATGGGAGACCAAGGGAGTGTTTGTGTTGCCGGAAAATATTTTAAAAATAAAAATACTCACTAATAAAAAATAATTTTAAAATATTTTTTAACCCCTAATAACATGTGTAAATCTTATATTTTTTTAAAAAAATACAAATTGATAAATATCATAAATTAATTAGTACAATATTATTTCTGTTTATAATAATTAAAGAAAAAATAAATAATTCAAATATGTGAAGCAATGATTTCAAAATGAAATTAATCTATCTATACTATTAATAAAAGTAAATAATAATTTACACCCATCTATATCTATATTATTAATAAAAGTAAAATCTTCCATTAAAATGTCTCTTACCCCTTATGATACGAGATTCCCCTTCAAGTTCTAGCATAATTTACATCAATCTATATCTATACTATAATTTCGGTGTAATTTTATATGGAATAAATTATTATTTCCACCACTCTATATCAATACTATTAATAAAAGTAAAATCTTTCATAAATAATGTTTAATAATTGACAAATTCTATTAGGCAATAAAAATTACTATTATAAAATCTTTTGTACTATGGACACATTATTTTTAATTATTTCACTTTAATAATATTATATCTTATTTATAAAAATTCAAAGTAATACTTTTAGTACTATTGAATACTAGTATTTGCACCCGTGCGATGCACGGAATGGATTTGTTGTAATATATTAAAAATATATGAATCGATATGTAATTATTTAAATTAAAACATTAAATATTATATAAGAATTATATAATGAAATTAAAGATATGATTTGAATCGTTTATATATTTTGATGTTATCATTGCTTGAATTTGTGTAAATAATTGCTCAAATTAATAGCTAATGTCTAGATGTACGGATGCGGTCCTATAATTTTGAAGATTTTATTTATCATTGTTTAGTATTTTCATACATTAGGCAAATGTGCTCGTTCTCAAACAACTCAGTTATAGAAATGAATTGCTATCCTTATTCATTTGTATGGAAGATATATATTTTTGTCTAGATATATATCAATTTTTTCATTTAAAAAAAAAATTAATATCACCGATTATATTTACACATTATTGAAACCTCGGACGACATTGGTAGTGACAACACAATCTTGTTCATCTTCGTCTAGAACTAACATCTTCTCCATCAGGACGGGTTACTTGGGTGAAAATATATAACGGTAGAATATCACTCAATTAGTTATCCTTTTATATTTTCAGTCAATTCGTAATATCAGATTCATTTTCAACCAATTATTCTTTTTTATTTTTAGTCAATTAGAATATCAAATGCAGTGATATTTTTACCTAACTTTCGTTCCATTTTTAATTGAAGATGTAGATATTATTATTGAAATATTTCCGTTTCATTTTTAATTTACTTTTACTGTTGTTTAAAATATGCATTTACTATTGATAATGTAGAATATTATTATTGGAATATTTTCCTCCAACTTTTAATTTCCATTCCATTTTTAGTTAAAATGTAATGTTCTTACCATTTTTTTTAGTCAATTATAGATCATTTTTTATTTGCACTCAATTATTAATATTCATTTTCTTTAATATTTTCAGTTAATTAGTAATATTATATTCATTTTCAGTCAATTATTATTATTATTTTTTTTATTTCCAATCAATTAGTCAATTAGAATATAGATGCAATGATATTTTTACCTAATTTTCGTTCCATTTTAATTTGATGATGTAGAATATTATTAATGAAATATTTTCGTTTCATTTTTAATTTATCTTTACTATTTTTTAAAATATGTCTTCTTTTTTTTTTTTACATCAAAAAGGGTTGAGCCTAAATATGTCTTTACTATTGATGATGTAAAATATTATTATTGAAATATTTCCTTTACTTCTAACCACACACACACACACACACCGACACACACACACACACACAAAAAAAAAAAAAAAAAAAAAAAAAAAAAAAAAAAAAAAAAAGAAGACTTTGGACTTCTCAATATTTGCCCACATTGATTTTTTTTTTTGGTAAACCCAGGATTTTCACCGTCGAACACAGTGACTAATCCCCCGCTAAATTGCAAGCACCTCTTTTGGGTGAGACAGCTGGCTTAGAGATTTAAGGCTGCTCCATTCCCAATCCAAGGATTGAACCCTTGACATTTGGTTAAGGATGGATGAGTCCCTTACACTCAACCACACCCTCCAAGTTACTTGCCTACATTGATGGGCAAGCAATTATGTTTGTAAGGGAGCATTGCTCCTCTTTCCAAACATTTTCAATGTGAGATCAAAATGATCCCACATCATTTACAAAGGGAGCCCGTGACTCTCTTTTGTCATCTTCTAATTTTTTTAACAAAATTTAATTTTATTTTGTATATCGTTTTGTTTGAATTATTATTATTATTATTATTATTATTATTATTATTATTATTATTATTATTATTATTGACAAATTCCCCATTTTAACAATTTATCTTTAATCAAAACACCAAAAATATTATTTAATAACTAAGTAATTTGCTCCAAATTGTTAAAAACTAAAACAACACATACATTTTGGGTTAATCTTTCCTAATCCCCAATAATAAATAAATAAAACTAAAATAAGAAGACAAAGCTAATGTTTCTTAAATAAGAACCTTTTGACTTCTGAATACTCGTCATATCGATGGGCAAACAATTATGTTTGTACCTCTTAATATAGAGGAGCTCTAGAGCTCATCTTTTCAAACATTTTCAATTTGGGATGAAAATGAACCAACATCATTTACAAAGGGAGCATGTGGCTCCCCTTTGTCTTTTTTTTTTTTTTTTTTTTTTTTTGTTAATTTTAATTTTATTTTGTATATAGTTTTGTTTGGATTATTATTATTATTATTATTATTATTATTATTATTATTATTATTATTATTATTGTTGTTGTTGTTGTTGTTGTTGTTGTTGTTGTTGTTGTTGTTATTGTTGTTGTAATTTGATTATTTGGCAAATTCACCAAAATTTTAAGAAATTCGTCTGTTTAATATTTTAAATTTAATCGAAAAATTAAAATATTATTTAATAACTTAGCAATTTGCTTCAAATTGCTAAAAACTAAAACAACACATACATTTTGGGTTAATCTTTTCAAACCCCACTAATAATAAATAAATAAATAAATAATAAATTAATTAATAAATTAATAAAAACTAAATTAAGAAGACAACGCTAAAACTTCTTAAATAAGAACCTTTTGACTTCTTAATACTTGGCCACATTGATGTGCAAGTAATTATGTTTGTAAGAGGAGTTTTGCTCCTCTTATATAAATGAGCTTTCTCTTTTCAAACATTTTCAATATGTGATCAAATGATCCCACATCATTTGCAGAAGGAGTCTGTGACTC